ATATTCTGCCTTTTCAAGCATGTTTCTTTCTTTTCACATCCAGAGAAATATTCTGCCTTTTCAATATTTCCTATATTTCAATTTTTCTGGGAGAGGGCTGGATGATAACTTCCCACAGTTCCCAGCATGAGGTTCTTCTCCAGGGAGTCCTTCTTCCTTCTCATTAGGTGGCCAAAGTCTTTGAGTTTCCTCTTCAGGATCTGGCCTTCTAAAGAGCAGTCAGGGTTGATCTCCAGGACTGACCGGTTTGATCACCTTGCAGTCCAAGGGACTCGCAGGAGTCTCCTCCAGCACCTTCTCCAGCACTTCTCAATTTTCACATACCTATTTTCTTTTTCTAGTTTATTCTCCCCCTCCTCCCCAGTTACCTGTTTATCCAGTAGTTGCACTCATGGATGTTAAAAAAAACCCCACGGTTATAAATCTAAATGCAGCTTTTCTGGACCCCTCGCGACATGTGAAAGCTGCCAAAATGTTGAGTTGCTGTGATTGTGGCAGCGTAGAAATGTCTTTAGTAAATCAATAAAATATGTAGATGTTCCTTGGCAACTCACCGTATTTATTTATTGAGATGAATTCAAATCAGTGCAAATCAGTGTGAATTTATTTGCTACCTGTCTCGTAGCAAATGACTCTGTTCGCATATCCCTTGCCCTGTTTTGAAACATTTACCATATTTTAATTTTAATTTTTTAAATGAACACAAAACTAGCCTATAGCTCAGGGGTCTTCAAACTTTTTGAACAAGGGGCTGATTCACACTCTCTTAGTCTGGGGGCGGACGGCGGACTGGCTGGGTGGGCGTGGCTAGGTGGTCCTGTGACTGGGTGGGCGTGGCCAATGTAGCAGTCCTTTTTACCTTTGTCCCTGCTGTACTCAATCCAAGGAATCTATTTACTTAAGACCGCCCCCCCCTCCCCAAAGGGAAAAAGAGCACAAACTTTCTTGCCACTTGCCTAACTTTATGACAACAGCATCTTCAGGCTCCTTAAAATAGGCCATTAAAAAAAAGAACGAAACAAACAGGATTTCCTTCAAAATTACTCCTATATAACTCATATATTTCAGATGACCTCACAATAAACCAGACTGAGAACTGCACCGATTAAGACTGCAACTAAAAGCCCCAAGATGGGCATTGAGGCACATTGTAAGCAGGTGGAAGAAGGCAAGAATCAACACACACATATGCCCAGCCTCCAGTGGTGAATTAAGGAGGAATAATGGTCTCTCAGGCTATTGGACTATAGTTTGAAAAGAAAAAATCATGAACAAATTTCTATGAACATGGCACGTATCTTCATTTGTAATGCAAAAACAACAACAATAACGATGAAATAATACAATATTTAAAATGAACAATTTTAACCAACATAAATTTACTACTAATTCAATGGGAAATGCTTATTTGGGATTACAGGGCTAAAGGTCTTGTAAGCCTGGAGGAGAATTCACAAACTGATTTGCTTTTTGCCACACTTGTGCAGGTGTCACATACACGCATGAATATCTACCAAAAGTGTCCAGGAACCAATTTGGTGGATGTATTTTATATTGTTGGGAGAAATGTCATCCTGGGTTCAGTTCCAAGTGGGGAAAAAGACACTGGAGACATGGAGGCTGCTTGGAAAGATGTTTTTTTTTTTTTAATTGAGAAATTTTAATAAATTGTACAAATATTTCCCCTTCCCCTTCCCTCCCCCCACCCCAACCCTCCCCCCTCCAACCCTCCCTCCCCCCAACCTCCCAGAGCAAAATACAGAGTATAAATATTTAACAATCATACACTAACATAAGCTAATTAACTTTAGCTTCCTACCTCCCTCTTGTACTTTAACTCCCCTCTTATTAAGCTAACTTTAGATAAATTGTAACATTCCTTGTTCATTCATTCATAAGTTAGTTGAAATTTCTTAGTCCGATATCTATTTTGAATGTAGTCAATCCATCTTCTCCATTCCTGCTTGTATTTCTCATCTGAATGGTCCTTCAAATATGCTGAGATTTTGGCCATCTCTGCTAAGTTTGCTTCTTTTAACGTCCG